AGGTTGTGGAGTCTCCTTCTCTGGAGATCTTCCAAACTCGCTTGGACGCAGCCCTGTGCCACGTGCTCTAGGTGACCCTGTGTGTGCAGGGGGTTGGACTGGATGGTCTCTAGAGGTCCCTTCCAACCTTAACGACTCTATGGTTCTATGAGGCTCCGGGGAAGTGCAGCAGGAGCCGACTGGACATGTCGCTTTCCCTGTCCTTTGGCGGGCAGCTCCGGAGACGGGAACGGGACGGGAGCGGCAGGCGGAGGGGAGCCCTGCCGTCCCCGGGCCCCATTAGCAGAAGGGCTCGCGCTGCTCGGCCGGGAGCGCTCCGCGCGCCGCGGGGCAGCGCTGCTCCCCGCTCCGGCTGCTCCTGCCCGTTCACAAACCTGCAGCTGCAAATAGTGCCTTTTACCTCCTTTATGAAATTCATGAAGCGGCCGCCGAACCTCCAGGCTTTGTGGCGGTGGCACTGCAGGGAGTTAACGGTCATCTGCGGGGCCCGCTGGTAGCACACGGAGACGATGTGAACCGCGTCGTACAGCAGGGCAGCATCTGTCTAAAATAAAGGGGATCCGCATGGGTGCCGGGGGCGGCTGCCCGGCGCAGGGATCTGCACGGCGGGATGCGGCCCTGGGCCTTTCGGTAGCCTAAAAGACCACAGTTGTCTCCCAAAATCACACACTGCAAAAACACCACCTGGGCGATGCAGCTCTGCCGGGTTTTTCCCGGGCATTTGCCAGGCGAGGCCGAAGGCTCCCGCGGGCGCCCCCGGCCTCCGCAGCCGCTCGTACCATCATGACGCCGTCCAGCAGGCCCAGCTCGGCCTTGGGCGCTGCCTGCAGCCGCTCCATGGACCACTTCTCCACGATGGAGGCCACGTGTGGGTTCTCCACGTTGAGGATCCGGAAGCCGGTCAGGTTCACTCCGGAGTAGCGATATGGTTCTAGGTCTAATGCATAAAGATCCTTAAAAGAGAGAAACCGGTTTAAACATTTTGCCTAGCTTTGCTGTGCCTTTCCTGCCCGTTGGGGTGTGTGTGCAGGGCTGGGGGAGGCAGCGCCGCGGGGACGGGGCCTGGCAGGGGCAC